CATTTTTTACGTTAAGGATAGGAGAATCTGAATGCAATATAGTGAAAATGATGATCGATTTTTTCACTTTGAACAAATAATATTAATATCCAAATACAAAATTTCTGATATGAATAAAAAGAAGCTGTGACTCAATATTCCAAATGAAGTTTTAATTTTTAATTTGGTGCTGAAAACACGAGATGACAATATTCTAAGCACGGAATTATATTGATGAGATGAACAACAGATTAATTGAATTACCGTGTGAACTAACTAAAAATTGATAACAGTGTGGGCAAGCACTTTTACCAGAGTATCAACAAACATTGAATTCCAGAAATTCACACTCTAAAGTGTGTTCCAGAAGGAATTGAATTGTAATTATGATTAAAATCTTATTCGGTGAGCGTAGAAATTAGAACATGAGCACATCATTTATTGTAATATGAAAATTTAACGGCTGATAAATTGGGAAATACGATTCTCATCAGTCGTATTGCTTTTTGCAATAAGAATGATTATAAACAATCAAATGAAAAAAGAATATCGAACAACAGCCTACTTTGGAAAAACAAATGAGACATCATAAGACCCTAGAATGTCTAGAATGCATGTCTTAATGTCATAATTTGAGGCTCTAAAAATAAATTGGAGAAACCAGTGTCTTCAATCTATTGTCATGAATTGCTTCCACTATTGTGAAACCTTCAAGAAACTTCCGCAACCTCCGCGAAAGTGTCGGAATCGTCTGGCAAAAGGTAACGAACACTTCAAAACTTCCCAGGATATTTCAAATTTCTAACAGCCAACGCAATATTTTCCTAAATGAAAATCAGAGGTAAACAATCGCAGAGTCCTTGTAGCAACGTGTCTGTATGTCTATTCAACGGGAATTCATGGTGAGAAAAACACTCCGTACACCAATTTCACGATTCGTTGAGCGTCTTTTCTCCAGAAACTTGATAAAAATACTCGGATTTTTCCGTGAGTGCATCCTTTCATGTCACACTGTGCTCTTTCATCCCTTGAAATTGAATTCAGGAGAGAAAAATCATAGTGGAAATTCGTCCAAACAGCTTCGGGTTTACCTACATGTTAAAGAATCATTGATTATTAAATAAAAGCTTGAATTTCAATAGATTGAAAATTCAGAGAAGTCATTGCCCGAATTTTCAAAATTTTCAAGGTTTTTCAGTGCCGTATGGACTTGAAAATAAAAAATTACTTGAATATTCAAGAAATTAACAGATTCGTCAATGAATTTTCTGCAGAAAATTCACGTAACTTTGTCGTTGTCAAAAATTTCAAGCACTTTCACTTGAAATTTCAAGAGTAATGTTCTTCACAGTGTAGACGTGCAGTTGAGATAAAAATAACAGCATTAAAAATACGAAAAAAGTTGTGAACGAGAGGTAAAACCCCCAGATCTCGTTTGCGTCGATGATCCCTGTAATCTCGAGTGCCATCAGGAGCGAATTATCTTGAAACGTGGGTGACGACGGTGGGTGGAGTACAGCGATGTGAAACGGGCAAAGACGACGTGAGACCCGCGTATCGTGCGGAATTATCTTGACATTCTGGTGCAACCGCATATCGATCCACCGTAGTATTTCACTCTGAGGTATCTGTCTCGCTTATTTTCTTCCACGTCGGATGACGAATGTTGATGAAACTCGGCGTTTCGTTCGTCCCCATTCATCACCACGTTTATTCCAAAATTATTGATAATATCCTTCAAACTATTTGGATTTATACAAGAAGAGAATAGTTTCATCGATGAAAAATCACTTCAACATTTTTTTTAAACAACTATGTGTTAAATTTCACCAACTATTTTGTAGAAATTCACCAACTAGTTGTTGAAAAAATTGAATTGTCAGCCAGTTGGTGAAGTTCACTCATCAGTTGTTAAAATTCATCAACTATTGTAGTTGTTAACTTTCACTAACTATTTTGTTGAAATTCGCGAACTAGTTCTTGAAATTCACTAACTATTATAGCTCGTGAATTTCACCAATTAGTTGTTGAAATTCAGCAACTATTTTAGTTGTTAAATTTCACCAACTATTTTGTTGAAATTCGTGAACTAGTTCTTGAAATTCATCAACTATTTTCTTGAAATTCACTAACTAGTTGTTAAAATTCAGAAACTATTATAGCTGGTGAATTTCACCAACTATTATAGTTCGTAAATTTCACCAATTAGTTGTTGAAATTCAGCAACTATTATAGTTGTTAAATTTCACCAACTATTTTGTGGAAATTCGAGAACTAGTTCTTGAAATTCACTAACCAGTTGTTGAAATTCAGAAACTATTATAGCTGGTGAATTTCACCAACTATTTTGTTGAAATTCACCAACTATTATAGTTGTTAAATTTCACCAACTAGTTGTTGAAATTCAGCAACTATTATAGTTGTTAAATTTCACTAACTAGTTTTTGAAATTCAGCAACTATTATAGTTGCTAATTTCACCAACTAGTTGTTGAAATTCAGCAACTATCATAGTAGCTAAATTTCACCAACTAGTTTTTGAAATTCAGCAACTATTATAGTTGCTAATTTCACCAACTAGTTGTTGAAATTCAGCAACTATCATAGTAGTGAAATTTCACCAACTATTTTGTTGAAACTCTAGTTATTAAAAAAAAGTGAATGACCAATCAGTGAAATCCAACACCTCGTTATTGATATTCACCAAATAATTTTCTCCACGCATGATCACCCGGTTAATTTATACCTACCAGATTTTCCTTGGAGGTGAATACCACTATCAGTTGTGACTGCAGCTCCCCACAACTGAATGCCCGCTAAGAACTCCCAACACATCCATAAGCTCACATATTTACTTATCCAACATAAACGAAAAAGCAAATAAAAACCAAGTTCAAATTTAAATAAAAGTTTTGTCAAGACCCATCCGAATAAGCTCATTGATTCAACTAAATCATTCCTCCCCCCCATTCGCACATACATCCAAGTACATGTCCCACACATTTTCGCATACATTTTGACATACACTTCCCACGGTGGTACATATGTAATACATAGCGAGGATATCGTGATGTTTTTACGAGGCTCGTCGCTTGGAGCAGTTCGAATTGCAAGTAGAACCTGCGCTTTATGTAATGGCTAAAGCGATGTTACCCACTGGCTAATTGAAACTCATCCCTACTAAGTCCTCTGTGGGATTTATCGTTAAACCCGTGGACACCATATGGCTGAAGATAAATTGAATAATTTGTTTTTAATCTCTGAGATAATATTTCTGTTCGATAATTCACCAAAATTATACGGATGAAGGAATTGTTGAAGAATTTATATGAAATTCATTCATTCATTCATGAATTATTATTATAATTATAATTATTATTATTATTATTATTATTATTATTATTGATAGAGAATGATAATTATTAATATGAAAAATTCCCAATTTTTTTGCTCCATTGAGATCTTATTTTTCTTTTTTGTTGAAAATCTAATTTTTTTTCCTTTCAGAATTTTCTTCCGCAAATAATTCTCATAATTATTATTAATAATTCATTATTTTGTATAGAAAATATCTAAATTTACCTTTCTCTCTACAATTTTTTCTGTTGCATTTAACTCAAGCAATGAATACAGAACATAAAAAATTCTCTACAACTGTTTACAAATAAAAAAAATTATACGACAATCTTACAGACGGTTTACATTTCAGGAATCCTTTGCGAGAAGACAGAGGCTTGACGAGAAGCTCCCCATAAAGTTTCCTGGAAGAAGGATAATAAAGAAAGGACGAAGAAAGAGTGTACACGTCTCGGTGAAAAGAAAAAGCTTTAAGTCGCACATAACAAGGACCTAGGGATTTACGCTATACAAGAATACTTTTCAGTGCTGCTCCTCTGTACACGTATAATACCGGGTTGGGTAACTTTTGTCTGGCAAAATGTGTAAAACCTGACGTGAATAAAAGCTTTGACAAGTCGCCGAATGAAAGAATTCAAAAGATTAAAGGATCTTTCGTCGTTTAGTTTGCTTTGCAAGGGCTTTAGTTTCCTGGAAACTTAATCTTTCGTTGCTTTTATCAGGAGATTTTTGTGGAGTAAATGAATCGCTTGTTTTTGTTTTATTCCCAATTTGATGGAGTTGCTTTTATCATCCGCGAAGAATGGAAATTTATTCATCGGGATAAATAGAAAATCCCGGGAGCTAACACAAGCTGGAAATGCAATCAGAGTGAAAACAACATTGTGCGTGGGTTTTATTGGTTTATAATAAATGGGGAAAAATATTCGATGGAATGCGCAAGACACTTTTTTTCGGCTTTTTTGGGAGAATTTTTCATCAGGCGACGGCTTCACTGAAATTTCCAGGGATTTCGTGATTAAAAATTCACGATTTGAGGCGAAACCAATGGAAAGTGATGATTTGGGTTCAATTATTCCATGATAATTCATCAAAATTTTGCGTATTATTTCGTTCTCTTCTTATTTCGAAATGAACTCTCATGAAACCTCCGTTAAATATTGAAGATCATCATAAACAAATTGAAAATAAACTTTGCAATCGCAGTCGGACGAGTGGAACACGCAAAGAGGATAGAGTAAACTTTTATCTAGAATGTTGAAGGGATGATAAAGGAGACAACGAGTGTACACGCCAATTGGCAGGCGATGGTGGTTGTGGCAGCGCGCGCGCAAGTTTCTCCAACTGAAACCGAAAAGCTAGTGTCCAACATTCAGTGTACGTCGCGACACCGTGCGCACTGCGGCGGTGGCTGGGTAAATTCGAAAATGCATCATCAGTTCGTTGGAGTTGGGGCAATGGAGTGAAGTGGACTCGGACAATTTGAATTTTTTCTTTCATTTTTCATGCGCAAGATATTTCAGTGGAGAATTCATACATGTTGCATTTTTTTAAAGGAAAAAATTGGGTTTGCACATTTTTATGAGTTTCTTCTCGAGAAGGAAGACGATGACTAGTTGGAGGGATTGAGGGAGTTCTTGTGAGTAGATGCTGTTTTATTACATGCGTAGGAATCATTTCAGATGTTATTTCGATTAGTTTTCAACAGTTTGTTTCAACAAATTTCATTTTGAAGATATTTTTGCAAATTAAAGTTTCTAATTTTTTGTGTCAGGATAACTAAATATAATCCGTATATATTTGGTCTTTCTTCTTGACATTTCAATTGATGACAGCACTATGTCATGGAAAAAAAGATGAACAGAATATTGAAATAAGAATTTCAGAAAAGAAAACCTATTCGGAAAAATAACAATAAATTTTTAAAATAAAAAAAAAACTTGTTGAAATTCAATTATTTATTTGTCTTCTTCATCGCTATTTGATGGGAAATTGATTTTTGGATGAGAAATATGAGTCGAACATGAATGATGAATAATCAATGTGAATCATCTTCATTCCCTCTGTCACTCACTGAAAGAAATTTCCTCATAAATAAGCAATGGCCATGAGAACGTGTGGTCGTTACCCACCACTTGACTCTAATCCCCGTACCGAAGAGAAAAACGCATTTACTATTCTCTCTTTTTCTCCTATTTTTCTTCTTCATTTTTAGGTTTCAGCATCAGCATTGAATTCCCAATCCTTAATTTTTTGTGGATTCACACCATTGAAAAGATCCGACGAATCGCCTCCATTGATGAGCATTACTACAGAATCTTTCATTGAGAGGAAAAAGTTTGAGGAGTTGCGATTAAATTCTTAATTAAAGGACGTGGTGGGGTCATTGATTGCATTCTATTCTCAGTGAAGGTATTCAAGGAGGGAGTTAATTTTTTTGGCTCAATGAACCTTCGGTCACATCAGTGAGCAATTACGTGTGTCATTAATTATTCAACTCCATTAATTCCTCTAAATAAATTCGGTTGAATTATTAATTTTCATTGTCCCTTTATTTTTAATTTTTTTCGGCTACTATATTTTGAATAAATGTAAAGCTTCTATTCAATCTAACAATTGATTTTTATTCACGTTGTTATTCAGGTCAATTAAATAGTTTTTTGAATGTCAACAAATCTTTTCTAGATTTAAATAACGACTTCATTATTTAAAAATTAAACAATTGTTCGGATCAAGAAAAGAATGAATTTATTAACATGTGATAATCCTTCATTCCCCCATTAAAAAATTTATGAAAAAAAACAGAATATGAGCCAATTCCATTGATTTTTGCGAAGTCTCCAAATTTATAAAGAATATATAAAAAATATATATAGAACATAAAACATTTATATATTTTTTCATATAACTTGGGCTAATTTAAAATATCTTTTAATATAGTTTTCACAATATAAACTGTTCCGTGTGGATCTGAATAAATGAATTATTTTTTTTATCTAATTGAACCGTTTTCATCGAACTAAATACATGAGTTCATTAATTTTGAACTAAAAAAGTTGTTGAAATGAACTCAAAAATTAAAAATGAAGAGTTTCATTTCATTTGAATGCGTCATTTTTACGAGTGTCTGTTTGAATAAAATGAATAGGTTTATTCAACTTGCTTGCACTAAAGCTTCTATTCAATCTTACCCTTCATTTCAACTCGCGATTTTATTCACATCAAGTGAATTGTTCTTCAAACATAAATAAATGTTCCCTTCATCCGCATAAAGCCCTCATTAATTCATTTGGAATGAATGAATTATTCATTTCGTGTAATAACGAACATTTTCATTAAAATAGATACATGAGCTGATTAATTTCGAAATTTCAAAAGAAGAGTTTCATTCCATTCAAACGCGTTATTTCTGTGGGTGTCCATTCGAATTAAACGAATGAGTTTATTGAAATTAATTATAACGTAGCTTTCATTCAATATTACCTTCGATTTTTACTCGCATTTTAGTTCACATCAAATAACTGATTTTTAAAAATATTAATAAATAGTGTCTTCACCCAAATAAAGACGCCATTAGCTCAATTGAAATGAATAAATAATTTAAGGCCCGGGTGTACTATCTTTCGAACGTTATCTCGGTCTTTTTTTTCATCTTTCGTCGTCTGAAATAGTCAATTAAGTCCTGCATCATGCAGAAATTTTGAAAAATTATGAATGAATAATCAAAAAAAAAGTAGAAAAAATTCTTAATTTTTTCAAAGAGCATTTTTAATTTATATTCAGTATAAGTTGAATAACAAAAAATTGAAAAATGTATCTGATTTGCGCTGACAAATGGCGGCCTGTCACCCAATATCATGCAGGAGGAAGACTGATTTCGTAAATCTTTTCCCACACTGCACAGAGACATTTATTACGGAAAAGGTTCATTGAAAAAAGTTGTAATATTTTGGAGAATTTTTTAATCACACTTTTATCACATAAAAATGGCAGATGGCTACATACCACTGTTTTGAAAATTAAGATACCTAGCTGTCACTTCTCATGAGGAGTTGGTGTTTTGTTATTCACCATGGAAAATGACAGCTAATAGATAATTTGCCACAGCGAATCAGATATTTGTAATTTCCACTTTTTTCAACTCAATCTGAATCTCAATTAAAAACGCTCTTTGAAAAAGTTCAGAATTTTTTCTATTTTTTTTATCCTTTTATCATAATTTTTGGGAATTTGTACATGATGTACCACTCAATCGACAATTTTGGATTACGAAAGATAACAAAATCCAGACAACATTCGAAAGATAGCACACCCGGGCCTTAATTCGCATAATTCAAGTATTTCCACTGAAGTAAATCCGTAAATTTATTGATTTTTTCTTGTCGAAACCCAGCAAACAATATGTCGACAATTTGTCGACAAATTGCCGATGTCCTGTTAAATTTTAGATGGCACTGGCAAAAATTGTTTTCTGGGAATGACAAAAAAATGAAAATGAAAATAAAAATGCGGAGTTTAACTTGATTTGAATGCGCCATTTATCCGGGTGCATGAATAATTTGAAATGATCAATCCAGAGGATCTGTCCCATTCTTGATTAAATATTTCGTTGATCAACTCGTAAATTCCCCTCTGACGTTATATAAACGAACAAACGAACTAAATCAAGTAATTACCCCTATGCGCCATATTCGTTGGCCCCCAGGGGCTATAGGAACCGAGGGTTCGCCGGAATTTACGAACCCACGTTGTATAAACCTTGGGAAGTAAGAAACTTTGCTCAGCTTGAGAGACCAAAAGTGATTACCACCTTACCAGGGACAAGTTTACTCAAGCACTCCTCTTTACTCACGAGTTGGTGTTGTTCTGATAATAATGCGAGAGGGAGTCAGAAATTTCAAAGTTCTAAATACTCAATCTGCTTGGTGACTACTTTACGGACGTCTGTGGATCGTCATTTCAGGGGGAGAATTCTTTCGATATTTATAGTTACGATTTGGGTAAAACACGCATCGCGCTTTTTTCTAGGTATAAAAAAATTTAATAGAGACCTCGGCGGATTCGCTAGAAAAATCTATTGAAATTCGGTTGAAATTCTATGGGGATTCTAATAAAATTCTAGGGAATTCTCGTTAAAATTCGATTTTTTACGCAAATTCTCTCAGATGTTTGATGGGAAAAAATCAATAGATTTCGATTTTTCTGTTTGAATTTTCTATTTTATTTTGTTTTGTTTTGCATTAGAGGATCCATGGGAAAAAACTTGGAAAATTCATGCCCAAGTGTCCTTACAGAAAAAATTGCAGGAGAATATTCATATGGAAAAATCCAAATATCCCATAGAATCAAAAAACAAATAGAATTTCAACGAGAATTCCCTAGAATTTTAAACGAATCCCAATAGAATTTCCAGAGAATTCCAACAGATTTTTTTGCGAATTCCCCAAGTTTTTCTATTAAATTTTTTTATACGTGTCTCTAAAAAAAATTCTCAATATGTAGACCATATTTATCTGAGAGAAGTAAATTATTTTCAATATCCCTAGAAGGTAGAATGAGTCGTAAGGTTTTTGCATAATTTCATATGTATTTTCAATCAAAATAATAATGAGAATCAAAGCTATATGAATATTCATTTCCTGAATGTGCAGCAACGGAAAAAATCGAAGGCGTCATTTTTTTCTAGTAAGCCCCGAAGACATAAAATTTATTTCGTTTACCGTCTCCCAATGCAATAAAATGCAAAACCTTGGAGTTACCCAAATCGAAAAAACAATATATTTTTATTACCTCAAAAATGGAGATTTTCAAACTGATAGTTGCAATGAAGTAATAGCAAGACGTAGAAGGAATATTCATTTATTCTGCACCTGATACATTTTGTTCCAACTAACTTTGGGCCAGGGATAGCCAAATTTGTAATATTTTATTACGGTTAAATACTGTAGCCATCAATTAGATAAATCACTCTTGAATTTTTTTGAGTACTTAAGTCCCATCAACTCAAATATTCACATTGTCAACTATTTTATCAATCAATAATTGAGGTAGGAAAATTAATGATTATTTGTGTAATCGAAAATCCCCTTTCAAGAAATTTGAATTATTCATTTAGTAGTAAATTTACAGTTTCATATTAACAAATTTTAAAAACATCATGATTATCCGTCAAAAATCAGATGATTAATACTATATTATTTGAAAAATTGAATCAACATAATTTAAATCTTCATTAATGTAAGGGTCAAATTCTTGTAATATTTCAGAAATTTAATATTGATGGGGATCCCTGCTTTGGGCTTTATTTTACGCAATCATTCCTTCCTTTTCACTTCCGGTCTCGCCATCGGAGGATTTTCCCCAGTGGCCGACTTGGCAGAAGAGATCTCGCCGGCCTTCTCAAGCGTTTTTCCCTCCAAATTGGCGAAGGATCCACAATATATCTCGACAACCGATGTGATCTTGGTGAATCCTTGGCACGAACACCGTTAGCACCATTTTCTGAAGCTGCGGGATTCGATATTTCATCGATTCCAATCTTGTCTATTCCTGACAGGCACCCGCAAAAAATAATAATCCATTAATAATAACAGAAATTACTAGAAAATCCTGAAGCGATGAAAATTATTCTAAAAATATTACCAGTTGTCAAAGTATTAAACAATACTGGGAAGAATATTATTCATTAGAAGAGTAAGAAAATTCATCCGGAAAAGATTTGTAATATTTGTAAATTTGTAATATTTTATTACGGTTAAATACTGTAGCCATCAATTAGATAAATCACTCTTGAATTTTTTTGAGTACTTAAGTCTCATCAACTCAAATATTCACATTTTCAACTATTTTATCAATCAATAATTGAGGTAGGAAAATTAATGATTATTTGTGTAATCGAAAATCCCCTTTCAAGAAATTTGAATTATTCATTTAGTAGTAAATTTACAGTTTCATATTAACAAATTTTAAAAACATCATGATTATCCGTCAAAAATCAGATGATTAATACTATATTATTTGAAAAATTGAATCAACATAATTTAAATCTTCATTAATGTAAGGGTCAAATTCTTGTAATATTTCAGAAATTTAATATTGATGGGGATCCCTGCTTTGGGCTTTATTTTACGCAATCATTCCTTCCTTTTCACTTCCGGTCTCGCCATCGGAGGATTTTCCCCAGTGGCCGACTTGGCAGAAGAGATCTCGCCGGCCTTCTCAAGCGTTTTTCCCTCCAAATTGGCGAAGGATCCACAATATATCTCGACAACCGATGTGATCTTGGTGAATCCTTGGCACGAACACCGTTAGCACCATTTTCTGAAGCTGCGGGATTCGATATTTCATCGATTCCAATCTTGTCTATTCCTGACAGGCACCCGCAAAAAATAATAATCCATAATAACAGCAGAAATTATTAGAAAATCCTGAAGCGATGAAAATTATTCTAAAAATATTACCAGTTGTCAAAGTATTAAACAATATTGGGAAGAATATTATTCATTAGAAGAGTAAGAAAATTCATCCGGAAAAGGTAATTTATTATGAAAGTAGAAATTGTTTAGAGGATATTATTAATTACCAAAGTAATGACAAATAATTTTAAAAATCGTGTAGATTACCAAAGTAGTGGATAATATTCTTTGGATTTAATATTCATTCAGAAGTTGGGAAATTAAAAATAACACAATTAAAGGAATTTGCCTATTCTTGATGCCTGAGAAGAATTGGAAATTTAATTTAATTTCATCTGAATATCTTCTAAACATCTTCATTGTTTTCCTCTATTACAATCGAAATCTTATCAAGCACTAGATTTTGGTCGTACAAAATATTCTACACATACATACCGCTGGAGGAATGGTGTAGCTCAGGGGTTTGAATCACCGTCTTGTTTCTTTCGACGACGAGACTCTGACTCTTCAAAAGATTGAAAAGAAAACGGGATATTTTCATTGAAAATAATCTTCTTATTAGAAAATGTAAAACGAAAGTTTAGGGGGGAAAACAAAATGGACTGAAAGCCATTGAAAAACCACAATGATTTCCATAAAAAATTCCATTGAACTTCTATATAACATCCTATTGTGCAGAATTTAATCTTTTTCACAACTTTTCTTGTTGAGACATTTTCTATAGGAATACCTCGACATGAATTTTCTAATTCTTTTCCACTCTATCTTTCCTCCCTTTTCATCGAGAAAATCCACTAAAAAAATGAAAAAATGAAGCGGAGGAATTTCTATAGAAAAAAATAGACCAGGAAAACATAGTCCCCACAGCCCAAAACGTGTTAGAGGGTTCTGATGAGTGGGTACTCAACTTAAAAATTTCCCTTGGTCTATTTTTTCCGGGACTCCGTGGCACTCCCCCTGAAATATACTATTTTGCACTCACATCGGAATATACTATTATCCAACAACACACGCACGACCAAATTCCATGAAAAGCCACAATGATTTTCATAAAAAATTCTGTTAAACATCCACATAACATCGTATTGCGCGTTTTTTAATGAAAAATCCGCAGAATTTAATTTTTTTACACAACTTTTCATGTTGAGCTATTTTCCATAGGAATTCTTGGGCATGAATTTTCTAATCCTTCTCCACTCTATCTTTCCTCCCTGTCCATCGAGAAAATCAACCAAAAAAAATTTGTATAAATTGAGCAGAGGAATTTCTATAGAAATTGTCTCACCAAAATAAGATTAATAAAAAAGCGGAATTCTATTGACTTTCTATAGAACACTCCATTCAATAAACAACGCGCAGACGTTCTGCGGAATTTTTCGAAGAATGCGCCAAAAGTTAAAAGAAAATTCAACGAAAAACCCACAGACTTGTCAAGTTAATTTGCACGGTGTTTCTATGAAACTGTTTCGTACGTGCGCAAACAATTGAAATCACAGGAGCCCACACATACCACAAGGATCATAACAGCAAATAGAATTAGCCCCAATCCGACATCCGGAAGCCTGACCATATTGATATGGAATATCTAAAGTAATATTGAAGCCAACAGCTTTGTCCTTCGTGAAAAGCAGATTTGCGGACTGCGCCACGCGCGTTATATATTCATTCTCTTCCGGGATTATATGACGCATGGCGATGTCATAAATTCACGTGCAATACGAGCGAAAATAAAAAAAATCACATCGCTTTTACCCGATTTTTGTCGTCAATGGAGGGCTGTCAGCTGATTTTTCGAGAAATATCTCGGAATCTAAGGGAGGTAGCGAAATTCTTCTTAAAACCTTTTCTGTAGAGCGAGATAAGATCTACAAAAAAAGTTATAACAAAAATTTTGCTATCTGCCTTAGATTCTGAGATATTCATTGAAAACTGACCAATGTCAATATCGGCTTAGACCATTTTGTCGTTTCGCCACTGAAATATCTTCCATCGGAATAGAAACAAGCGCTACGTGTTCCCGATATTCTCGATATCTGCTAATAATAGAGAATAACTGGAGAAACGATGAATGAGTTTGAAGACGGGAATTATTGAGAGGAAATCGATGAAGGAAATCGCTCGGGTGTTGCTTTACTTGATCTCCCTGAGGGTAGGAGGTGGACTGGTGGAGGTGGTCGATGTTTTATCGATACATCGATCAACTGCAGAACCCGGGCTCCCGCCATTCATGTTCTATTAACCCAGCATGCAGAATCTCTATTCTTCACGTTATGCAGGTTGCCCCCAAAAAATGGAATTGAAAAGTGAAGACTTATAGGGTCTTGTCTTTGAAATCGATCCAGTGACGTGGGGCACAATGAGGGGATGAAAAATATTTATCCTGGGGAGACTGCTGCGGGTCGATCTGTCTCCGACGGCTTGATACTCATGATAAATGTATTTGACGGATTTTTTGGGTCGATTTTTTATCATCTTGATGTGTTTCAATGCGGGGAGCGAGTTTGGGTAATTGGAAATTGATACGTGAATGTAATATAGTCTGTAGTTGTTGGTTGTCTACGGTTTCCTTGATTCGCAATTCTCGGAAATAGAAGGTACAAGTGATTGGGTTTCACTCGATGGAATTTTTTTTATGGAAAAAAATGACGAGAAAATGATGTTTTATAGAAAAATATAAAATACGTATTTTTGTGAAGTAGAATAACATTCTGTAAAATTGTCCAATATATTGACTATGTTGTGACAATAGTTATTTTCATCACATGGTCCAAAAGTATTTTCTGACGAATGTGGCTTTGTAGGCCGAGCCGAAGGCGAGACCGAAGGCGAGGCCTATAATCACTTTTGGACCGTGTGATGAATGCAATTTTTTTCGTCAGAAGGCCCGTAAACCAATTTTCCACCTGTTTTACTGAAGGAATAGTAAAATATCGTCCACTCGAAGTATTTTTTATTGAGTCCTAATTCACTCCGATTACCTTTTGGACAGTAAAATTAGAGATGAGAGATCTTCTGGATAATTTTTTCTCGACTTTCCTCTCCGTGCGATATATATCTGCAAAATCGATCCCAATCTACGCGCTCTCGGAGCAATTCCGTTTATTCTCACTGCGACTACGTGCCAATTTTCATTATTACGGTGCAATTCTACTGGGACAGGTGTATACGTATATCCAGTGATGGGGGATTGTTCGCCGAGACATTGAGCCCTGCGAACCTGAAGAATTTCATTTAACCTTACGTTCCCAGGTTTTTCGCTGAGTGAATAGCCAGTTTTTTCTCAGGAAAGCCGAGACCAAGCATGGCTTCAGGGAGTTTTGATTGCAGAATAAAGAAAGTGTGAAATGCCTGGGTTGCGTCTGAGTCAAGTGTTTTCACTCCTATCACAACCCCGGGGGGGAAATTCTAAATCTGCGATGACGTGAATATCACATATAAGTGTCAGATCTTGGATTTTTTCAGGGGGAAAGCGGACTTTCGGCAAAATCGAATTTTTTCGTCAAGTGAAGGTTGATGGTGAAAAATTGAACGTTGATTCCAACTATTTAAGCGACGGGCTATTCAGAACTCTCAAAAGTATGTGGAAAAAGTAAAAACTGAAAAAGTTTTTTTTCTTAGATTTTCAAAGGGTCAGATTTTCCGTTTTTCCAGGGGGAAAGTCGACTTTCGCCAAAATCGAATTTTTTAGCCGGGTGAACGTTGATTCCAACTATTTAAGCGACGGGCTATTCAGAACTCTCAAAAGTATATGGAAAAAGTGAAAACTGAAAAAGTTTTTTTTTCACCGGGGGCCAAAGTGTCAGATCTTGGATTTTTCCAGGGGGAAAGTCGACTTTCGCCAAAATCGAATTGTTTCGTCAAGTGAAGGTTGATGGTGAAAAATTGAGGTGAAACACTACTGAAAATCGAGTTAACTCCACGATTACTTGACTCATTCGGTAATTTTTCTCCAACTTCTTTCTCCGTGCAATTAATGTATGAAAAATATCACGCGCCACTCAGACTAAATGAATAATTAGCACGGAGTTTCTACGGCGGGGGATTCACTCACAAGTGGAATTATTCACATGTGACGTATTCAGAATTCTTCATTTTCTTTGTCACAGTCACGATATGTTATTTACGCCGGATGGAATGCAATTAGGGCATCGCGGGGATGTATTACGCATGGATTGAGTAGTAAATTCATTCAGGGTTCAACAGAGTGGAAGAGCTCCTGCGATGGAGATGATCATTATAATACCACTACGAATATTCAGTTTCGAATATTCTACGAATATTTAATTGATCAACATTTAATTTTACACTTTTTCAAATTTTGTGAAAATCGCAAGGGCAAGAATTAACAAGAAAATATTATTGAGTCCGATATTTTTTCATTCATCCATAAGCAATATTTCCAATGTTAATAAATAAAAAATTTATAAACATTAAGGTCGTATTATTCAAGGTTGAAACTCGAGGTTAAATTTTTTTTAAATAAATCGCGCGAGTTTATTTTTCTGCATGACGACTTCATTTAATTTTGTGGGTCACGAGGGTCTAATAATTCATGATTAACATACATATTTAAAAAATTAACTAACGAATAATAAAATTCTCGATTGAAATTTTTTTTATTCATTTTAATTAAAATTGTTGTAATAATTCAGTAGCGAAGTGGTAAAACGAGATAAGTCAATTTTGACTACTGGCCAGTTTTCAATCAACATCTGGGAATCTAAGGAAGATAGCAAAATTTTTGTTATAATCTTTTTTGTGGAGCCGATTGAGTGCTACAATAAATGTAGTTACGAAAATTTCGCTATCTCCCTTAGATTCGGAACTATTCCTCAAAAAATGAACTGGGAGATAGTCGACTTATCTCCGTTTACCACTTCACTACTGAATTATATATTATATGAAATAAATAATTCATTTTTGTGGAATTCTTTTCTAAAATAGAGTATTTCCTTTTATTTATCAGCAATTTTTATTAAAAATCGATCTTTATGCGTCAGACAATGAAAAAGATAGAATAGCTTGAATGTCTCTCAAATCCGATCGTTGAAGTAGATTCTCCCCGCTATGGTAAGACACCGCCGCAAACTTGAACCGCCCTATATTTACAACCTCATAAATGGGAGTGTCTCATCCAGCTGTCAAGAGCATTCCCTTCAATTGGACTATTTAAAAAATTGAAAGACAAAAAATTATTCATTTTATGTGAATAACAATATAAAGATAAATTAAACTTGAGATTGACTAAAAGTTTTTTCACGAGCTATTTTATCAAATCTATTACTGTTCTTCAAATAGAGTTTATTCAATTCAAATAAATCATTTGTGTAGCTAAAAATTACAATATTTTTGTGGAATTTTTATCTAAAAAAGTTTATTTTTCATTTAATTTAATTAAATGAAAAATATTTTTAATTTTTTTTTATTTTGGTAAAAATAAAAAAATAAAAAATAAATAAAATGAATAAAATAAATAAATGAATAATCATATAATAAAATTAAAATATTTAACAAATTTTTTTTATTTCGATAAAAATTTCTCTTCATGAATCAGACAATGAAAACGTATAGTCTGAAACACTCTCAAATCCAATCGTTGAAGTAGATTCTTTCCGTTATGGTAAGACACTGTTTAAAACATGAACCGTCACATACCTGTAACCTCATGAATGAGAATGTCTCATCCCTTCCAATTGAATTATTAAAAAAATTTAAAGATAAATTATTCATTTGGTGTAAATAAAAACAAAATTAAAACTGACTTTAAGCTTAAATAAAAATTTTTTCATGATCTATTTGAACAAACCTTTTAATTTTCTTCAAATAAAATCTATTTAATTAAAAAAAACCATTTGTCTAGGTGAAAATTACAACATTTTTGCGGAATTTTCATCTGAAATAGTGTAGTTTCACTTAATTGATGGGTAAAAAATTAAAAAAACACAAATTATATATTTTATGTAAACAAAAACAAAATTGAAATTGACCTTAAGCTTGAATGCAACTTCTTTCACGAACTATTTAAACAAATCTATTAATTTTCTTCAAATAAAGTCTCTCTAATACAAATAAATCATCCGTCTAGCTGAAAAGTAGAATATTTTCGTGTAATTTTTATCTAAAAAGTAGTTTATTATCTATTAAATTTAGTGATAAATTTCCACAAAAATTTCTCTCCACGAATCAGACAATGAAAACGATAGAATATTCTGAATCTCTCTGAAATCCAATCGTTGAAGTAGATTCTCCCCGTTATCGTAAGACACCACCACAAACTTGAACCGCCCCGTACCAACAACTTCATAAATGAGAATGTCTCATCAACCCGTCAAGAACAACCCTCCAATTTTTTGTCGCAAAGAGCCCTTCACACTCCTCTCTAAAAAAGCCCGCAATGAGGGCTCCGAGTCGAAAATCCCAGAGAGTGCAATTCTCATGAGCCCTCACGGATAACAAGACAGAGTGCAACGGCGGTGGCCGACAGCTGGATAGACATGCGGATTATTACGTGGCTCATATATCAATGTGCTTTCATTTCAGCAACATTTTATCCTCTCCATTGTCAGCGAATTATG